GCTTTGGTCATAACAAAAATGCCATTTATACAAATATCAGAAAAGATCCAACCCCCAAAAATCATCAACTCAACCAACCCAAATGCACACATGGTATGACATAGAAGCCTACCTTAAAATACCTTAACCAAACCAAACACTGTATTGGAATTTTTTTTTCTGTTTTTAACCAAAGAAATCTTGATTTTTTTCTTTTTATTTTCCTAATTTATTGATTTTGTTGTTCGAGATGATTAGCACCAACTTGACCTGAATTTTTGTGCAATAGCTTCCTCAAAAACAAAATTACTTGATACTTTCAATTTTGAAGCCTGAACTAGTTGAAAATATATAGAATAAGAGTATAATATATAAACTCTTGATTCAAATTTTTGTTTTTAATTATGAGCTCAATGATATAAATTATTAAGCACAACAATATAATCTTAATACATTTTGATCTTGGCCAAACAATAAATTATCATACAAGCAATATATCTGATAAAAAAATTTTAAAAAAATAAAAGAATTCACAAATAATAATAATAATATTATTATTAATATTAATATTAAATGCTATAATAGTCTAGTGCCTAGAGAATGGCTTAAGAAAATACCAACAGCAACAAATAACAATACCCTATTACACACATCTTTGCTAACAAATTATTCAAGCTGTAGCTTAACTAAGATAGAGCAATTATGCTGACAATTATGACAATTGTGAAAAAAGATATCAGTAACTCTAAAATAGTGATGACAATCTTGCAATTGATCTAATAAGTTGAAGAGAATGATCCCACTTCAATTTTGTAGTATGTTTCATCAATTTTGCGAATATTAACGGTATGACCCTCTTTAACTCCATTCTGGTCAAGGAATTTCACCCAGTCAGGACCTGACAAGACCCGTTTGTTTCGGTTAACCCTGTAGTCGAACCTCCATGGAAAGTTCTGACCATCTTTCACCTGCATTCTACGGGCAACTGCAGCGGAGGGGAATGGCTCGGATGTCACAGTAAATGTCAGTCCCTTACGATAATCTCCTTCAAGTTTCTTTGAGAAAGGAGCCATAGCTCTAGCTTTGATAATTAAGGTCGTAAATTTGAGAATTTTTGTGTGGGAGATAAGTAGATAACTGAACAGCGAGAACTCCATTTATATAGACACAAACTGATACACTTACTGGAATAAAAAATTACAAAGGTTATTTTCTCAAGCAACATTCTCTCTATTTGTCAGACAATATCGGTTTTGTTCGAAAGGTTTCGTGCTAGTATTCTGTTGTTATCGTTTCTTCTTATAAACCAAATGCACGTCTAGATTCAATTCTATAGTTTATTAATTGGACAGTCATTTTCATCATTTCGGTTTCAATTGTACAAGCTTGTATAAACCAAATGCACGGCTACCTTCAATTCTATAGTTTATTTATTGGACAGTCATTTTCATAATTTCGGTTTCAATTGCACGAGCTTGTTTTATAAAGTTTGAAAATGGTAAGTGGATAAGCGCAAGAAAATTATAGAAACATGTGTTTTCTTAAAAATAAAACATGTTTGAGGTTATGTTTAAGATGAATCAGTTTCACTTTTTTTATTTGAAAATTAAAATGTTGAATAACTTGTTGGACGCAAGCAATTATTCTCGTGTGAATTTTCAAACAGCTCGAGCAACATCATCAATAGTGAGAAAAAATTGAAAAATCTTAAGAAAGATTTCGTTAGTTCATTGATGATGAATTCTTATTTAATCACTTCTTTCAACTTTTAACTTTCTCTTTGAATTTGTAAATGTTTTTATTGATAAAATTAAATTAAATTCTTTTTCGTAACGATAATAGTAGTAATTAAACAATTAATAGCTTTAGGACTTCTAAGATGATTATGATTAATTTAATTTAGTTTCTTTTGTCGTTGCTTGTATTGAAAATGATACATATATGCGTATAAATTAAGGTTTAAACTTTTAATATTTTAAAATATTTTCTTTGACCAATTCAACACATTTGTCAAAGGTCTTTGACTGACGCTAGTGCATATGTATCTATATACAAAATTAAAACTGATTGTCTAAATTTAAAAGTAGAATTATGACGTTTTAAATTCCAATTATATTATGTCTAAATTTGATTATTTAGTTATATATATTTTAATTTATTTTAATTTATTTATTAATTAATTTTTTTAGTAATATATTATATATAAATGCAATAATTATTATAACTGCAATTTTTTGTATTTTTAATTTTAAAAAATAAAAAAAATAAATATTAGAAAAAATTATGGATGAAAGAAAATTATTTTAATTTTTAATAGATTTTCATATGTATATTTAAAAAGTTTTATTATATTTATATTAGTGTTTATTACGTTCATACACCTATTATATTATAAAAGTGTTAATTTCCTTGGTTTACAAATGAAAAAGTGAATTGTCGGAATGTTACGAGAACGTTGAGATTATGATTCATTATTTTATGGCTGAATTTTGTGAGAAACTGAGGTTGTCGGTTGTGACAATGGCGTGATGTTGTGAGTCGCGCGTCAAAACTCTTGTCGTAGCCAAAGGGACTATCGACGTCGAAAACGATTTGGCCCCACCCTCACATCTAAACTCTATTGCGGGTCTACCTTTACCAACTAAATCTCACTTTTTACAAACGTACATTCGTACGGTTGCTTTTTTATTGTTATTATTTTTAAAACGCCATAAACCAACAACCGAAGAATAAAATATTGTAAAGAGAGCATCACGATATTTATTTTACATCAGATGAAGTTCCGAGTTTTGAACAAAAACAGTAGTGATTTGACTATTGCAAGGCAAGCCATGCATAATCTTTATGAAAAGGGTCAAGCCCAATGGATACCATCAAAATTTGCTTTTGAGTGTTGGGATTAATGTCCGGCCCAAGACTAATGATTTTTAATGGTACCTCGTTTCAACCCCATTCTCTTAACAAATTTTCTTATGGATACCCGGTGTCACCTATTGGGCCCGTATTTGCCTGTTTGGGTTTGGTCCTCAGCAACCTTTTTTTATTCCTTCACCGTCGGCCACGTCCGCCGCTGCCTCCAGGCTAACCCAGAAAACTGCCGTTATTTCCTCTCAATTTATTCCTTCTATCTATCAGTTTAGATTTTTTGTTTTTTACAAACCTCTCATTTTTCAAAAAAAAAAATCTAAAAACCCGTATCCAGAATCTAATTTAGCGCCCTCAGCCGCCGATCTCCGCCAGAAGCACAGTTTTCCTCTTCCTTTCCGCCGTTTGATCTGCTCCAACTGTACCCATTCCACCTTGAGCAGCCATTGTCACCAGTGCCTCTGGTGGCACTTTTTTTTTTCTTCTTGCTCGTATGGACCTAGTAACTTGAGTACTTGGAGATCCTTTTATACATTCGCATATTCCCGAAGTATTGTCATTTTCCCAGCGAACCAGTAATAGGAATTTCGAGCCTATATTGTCTCTTCCTGCGGAGAAAAAATGTCCCACTTTAAAGCGAAGCACTTCTTCAAGGTTTATCTCACAAGGCACAGCTTTCAGTCAATGGTAATTCCCTCGAAGACTCAGTTTTTTTTTTTTTTTTATCTGGGTTTTCTCTTTTTTCAAGCTTTAACTTGCTTAGTTTCTTGATTTCTTTGAACATTTTGTCTTTTGGCTGTTTCATTAAGCACTTGGATTGTACATCTCAAAAAGGTTGAGGCTTTGCCTTTTTTTGGTTCATGGGTCAAATTTATAGTAACTATTATCAATTTGATTTTTCTTTCCTTTGTTGTATTTAATCTTTAGGTGAATCTAAATGCAATTTTGGCTGGTAGGATTGTGTTAAAGGGCATCAATTTTTTCAGTTCTCTTGTTTATAGAGAATGTGCTTTGCTTGGTTTGGAGTTGCTGCTTTATGTTACTCCTGTGTTAAATCGTAAGGCTAAGAATACACTGGTAATGTTGAATGTGTAAAAAACGTAGGGGTTCAATAATGTGATGGAATATAGTGGATATGTGTTACAATTGTCTATTGGACTCTATTTTGTAGGTGATATCAGAAGATAATAGTAGTGGTTCAGTGGTTTTTTACAATTGTTGCACGTTTACTTTAACATTCGGATTGATGATGTTGCTTCTAGGAATGTATAAACTATTTACATGATCTTTTTTAGTTTCCTTTTAAAATTGTATACGTGTTGATTAAATGCTTGGCTCTTAGTGTCCAATTGCCAAGAATGCTAATTTCCTTGTCTGAAATATTTTCTACTACCTTCTGGCTATATGTACTGTGTGTGGGTTTCAGTATGTTCCGTTTGATATAGTAAGAGATTATGGTCTGGCTCTAGAGCACAAGGAGAAAATTACCTTTCTTGACCCATACAAACGGAAAAGTATTGGGAAGGTCGTTAAATGGAACGATAAACGAACATGCATAAAGGGATGGAGAAGCTTCTGCAATCGAAACAAATTGGATCAGCAGCGTGACTCTTGCATTTGTGAATTTCTGCTTGAAAAGGTACAGAAAACTAAGTTCATGCAAGTTCACATTATCCGTTCCAGAAAACATTCCGGGTCCCAGAAGCCTAGCATGAAGCAAAACCAAAAGAAAACATAATCAGACACGGCCAGATTTCCCAGGACTTAAAACTTAGTTTGTATTTAAGGTGTTAAGGTTTGCTCAAACAGTTTGACTCTAAGCAGTTTAATTCTCAGTCGTGGATTAAACGGGCCTACATTAGAGTTTGGTCTCTAAGCTTCCATGCCCGTGAGTAGCTGCGTAACTTTTTACTTTCGGCCATTTGTAGTTTGGACTGTCACATAATGCCACACCCGATAGCTAGGTGGCCTGAATTTTTCATTTTGAAGGCCATGGGTTGGGTGGGCTGATATATTATTACTCATCAAACCCATATTTTGTGCATTTAATATGTACGTACTCAAATTGGCCGGAAATGGTTCACCTTATTGGCCAATCTTCATTGGCATCACCTACGTTTCACATTTCTTCTGGCCAGCATTTAAACCTGCTCATGTAATCTGCTTGCCTACCATCCATCCTTACCGCACCTTATCCATTATCTGTCTCCCATACAAGTTGAACCCATTTTTATTCTCTTCAACATTTGGTTCATAAGTTTTGAACCTTACCTTGTACAACAATATAGCAATGGCAATAGCCTCAGCTACACTATCTCCACCCATATTGGCTGCCGCTGCTGCCACTGTTGGCAATCCCAGGAGGAGAACTAGCATTAATGTAAATTACGTAACAGGACTGAATTCTTTTGATGGGCTAAAAGCTCATAACAATTTGGTCTCACTAGGCCAACCAGTGTGCATTGAGCAATCTTTTGCAAAGATTGTAAGCTCACTCGAAGCTCCATCAAAGGGGGAAGGTAGAGGTGGTGGTGCCCTTTCTTCTATTTGCAGTGCAGTTGGTGAAATATTCAGGATTGCAGCAATCATGAATGGGCTTGTTCTCATTGGAGTTGCTGTGGGATTTGTTCTTCTTCGAATTGAAGCATCTTTGGAAGAGGCTGAGTGAGAATTTAAGAAACTTTAGTTGTTTCATATATGTCTACTTTTTCTTTGGCGAATTTCCACTTTAATTTCTTTCATGCTTCATTGATGTGGGACTTGATTGTGTCTTGGGTTGCTATTTTAAACTGTTTCAGATAAAATATCAAAGACAGTTTTATTATATCCTTGTCAATTTTAATTAGGTCGGAGACAAGTAGTTGCCAATAGCGATGCTATGGATGATTAATTTCGCGTATAACTAGGACTAATTGCAACCAATTTTTTCTCTCAACATAGCAAGTCAGCAACATGTGCTATATGATGACTTGAAAACTTAACGAGTATTTTCTCAGGGAAATGACATCAGCTAAAAGAAAGCATTGATCCAAAAAAATGGTCCCGTTGGTAAAGCACCTTGATATAAATGATTCAATTAAACTTTAATAAAAAATTTAAATAGATAGATTAATAGAGTTTAATAAAAAGATTAATATTATGTAAAAAATTATTTAAAATGTTATTTATAATTTAAATTTAATCAATATTTATTTAACAGTAAAAATTTTATCAAAATTTTTACTAAAAAAAAAGAATAATTCATTAGTTAGTTACTATTAACAAATAGCAATATGTAGAGGAAAAGGCTATATATGGGCTCATGCTCATTTCCAAAATATTAGCTGTAATGAAGACAGTGAAATGAAATGGTAGATTGAGCATATGAACATTGTCTCTGACGCGACAAAAGGATCAAAGAAAAAAGTTATTTTATGGTCGGCTGCTAGAAATACTGCTTCAGGAAAATAATGTTAAGGTGACGAAGATTGTTAGAACAAGGACCATGGTAGGTGAGTTGGCTTAAATTATGTTCAAATAGGAGAAATCTTGTGTATTTGAGAAATAAACTGTGGCGATGCCTATGATTCAAAGTCAGTTGTGAAAAGTTAATAAAGGAAAGTTATTAGAAAGAAAAGTCGTTAAAGAAAAAGAAAAGATGTATGTATTTCTTTATTTAGATAATTAAAATTAATAAAAAATAAATAAATTCTAACAATCATTATATGATTAAAGAATAGAAAGAAAAGGAAATTATTTATTATAAATTTTTTCAATTATATCTTGAAATATTTTATTTACCGTGTGGATAATTTAAAATTTATTTATTTTAAGTACAAAAAGTTTAATAAAAGAGATTAATGTTCATTAATTTATAAAATAATGTAGGTTTGAAATTACATTACTTTTATATAATTATATTTTTTCAGAATTAATTTTAATGAGAAAATTTAAAAATATAAATTTTTATTACTAAGAATTGAAGGCAATAATTAAGAAGTTGATGAAAGTTATAAGAAAACAATACAAGTAAAGATACAGATTTAGGTTTGATAAAAAAGTAAATATTAACATTCCTTGTCAAGCCTGTAATGTATTTTTAAAAATTAAAAAATAATAAAAAATATAAATATTATTTTATATTTAAAAAGTTTTTACTCATTCTTTTTTAGCTTTTTCTTCAATTTAAATAATTAAAAAATGGAATTTTAAAGGAAAAGAGAGGGGTGTTGAACCCCTTTCTTTTTATTTATTTTAATTTAAAATGAAAATCAAGAAAAATATTTTTGTTTCCCTTTGCTTTCTTTTTTTTTTCCTCACTTCCCCTCAATTCAAACATAGTAGGCTATATAGGCCTAAGAAAAGTAGACAGGTAGGAAATGAGAAATTAATAAATGCAGCTGAAGTTAGAAATTGGTATCAGCTTTGAAAAAAAGGTACACTGCTAAATTACCTATTAATTAAGAAATGCTTGAAAAAGTAATCCTTAAATATATAGATGCCGAACTAAAAATTGCAGCATTGGAAAGATTGCTTCCTCTTTTGAGACGTTTAAACTAGCTTAGAGACCAAATTAGCGGTCAAATGTGAATGCATTTGGAAAGGTGGAAATTGAATTTGCATAGCGGTTCAAAAGGGCGTGTGACCTCAAGGGTTAGTCGATAGACCCAATCCCCATCTGGTCAATCCTCTGCGCTGGTCATTTTGATCAGAGATTGGCTGGTCATCCTCTTTGATGTTCATTTATATCAGAGATTGGGTTTCATTTTAGTTATACCATCCCTAAATAATTTCAGCAGTGAATCTCTTGTTCTGGGTTTTTGTTCACTGACTGTAATTTTTGTATGCTCTGAGTCAGCCGCGGTGGAACAAATATAAATGCCTTAACTCATTATATCATCATCTAAACCATCAAAATGCCTTCAACTCAACACTAGGCTCATGGCTTATCCATAGTCAATAAATCATTTAGTAAGATAAGATAAACATGCAGTAGCTAGGGGCCGTATGAAATTGACAAATTCTCCAGGGAAGCTGCGCCACTTTTCTTTCCAAATTTCCTAGCAGGAACAGATATTAGGTGGGTGATTTCATAGGAAAAATTTTTGAATGTTCGAACCATGGATGCATTTTCACAAATACCAAAACTTTATTGATTAAATAAATGTATTAAAAACTAATGATAATGATATGGAGGCTATAGAAATTGACTATATCAGTAGACTGTTCATTGTTCAACCCTAACAAAAAAGAACTGAAAAATATAGCACTATATATAAATAAAAGAACAACTATACAAATGATCAATGAATTAAGAGCCATATTGCAGTCAAACTTTCATGCAATTTCGTAGATTTTAGTTAATTCTATGCAAATGACGTATGGATTTTTAGGAATTGATCATCATAAAAATTAATATCCATCTTTGGTAGTTTTGTTTTATAGTGCAGAAAGCAGCCGCCATTCAAAGAACAAATAGCTAAAATGAGAAAATTTCCAACCTATTCAAACTATTATGATATTAAGTTATACTATTCTACAGCCACAATCCCACGTCGTTCGAAAAAGAAACTTCAACCAATGGGATTTCATGATTTGATTCCTGTTTTGATCATATCCATATTCAAAGAAAAAAATGTTGAACTAGCTTTTCGCCCCAAATACTGAAAGAGAAAATACTTTTATTTTGTTACATTTATTAGCTTTTTTAATCGTTATTTTTTATAATTTTAAAAAACGAATTTTGAAATAAATTTTATTTACTTTAAATTGATAAATATATTTCAAATTTCAAAAATAATAAGTGATATTATGTTCAAATTTTAAAGAAGTTTAAAAAATAAAAGATCATGAGGAAATTTATTAAGATAAAAATAGTTTTTTGAGATTTCAAAGTCTGAATTTTTTATTTTGTGATTTAATCTTGAATTTGATTCTTCACTTTCTTTAAATTTCAAATATCATCTTTTTAATTTCTTTAATTTATGAATTATAAAATTAGATCAACAGTTGATTTAAAATATAATAGAGATTTAAATAACTAATAATTATTTTAAATATATTTATTTAATTTAATTGATAAATAACATAAAAATAAAAATTATCTTATGTGTCAACTAAATAGGTTGATTAAAATGATATTTTAAAAAATATAAAATAATATTTATTTCTTTTATTATTTTTAAAAAATAATTAAATAAATATTTTTTTCAAAATTTAGTAAACTGCAGTGAATTAAATATAAAAAATTATTTATAAAATAATAATTAAATAATTTTTAATCTTTGCTTACAGATATCTGGAATTTAAAAAAAAATATTACCGGACAATTTCCCAAATAATTACAAGATTTGCCACTACTTTTCACGGAAAAATATCTCAAGATAAAGCTCAAGATAAAGCATTCTAAATATGCTTTTCCAAGTTTCTTTCTTTTTTTTTTTTTTTTTGAAAGCTCAACCCATATAAGGTATATTATTTAAAAATAAAATGATCAAATATCATTCGACTTATCTCAAGGTAAAATATAATAAAAATATATAAATATTTTTAAGAAATAAATAGAAAAAATGATAAAAAAATTAAAAATTAAAAATATATATATTTTGACACATAACATATTTTTGATATCATCGAAACAAAAAGATTTTAAAATTTTAAAAGATATTTATCAAATATAAAAATAATAAAATAATAAAATAAAAACAAAAAAATAATGTATTTTTAATATCAAATGAATCTCATAAAAATATATTTTAAATTTAAAAAAAATATATAAAAAATTTAAAATTTTGGTATAAAGTAACTCTCACTTTAAAAAATAAGATTTTAAAAAATATAGTTATTAAATATTAAAAAATTTGACAAAAAAATGAAAAAATTGAAAACAAAGAAATAAAAAAAGAACACTTAACTGTATGACCAAAATTTAAATAATGAATTTCGGTCAAGGTAATAAAAAACGACGAAAAACCACCGAGATTGACAACCAATAATTTCCCTCATTTCTTGATTATCCAAAAAAAAAAAGTTTGCGCCGTAGCCGTCTTTTTGGAAGCAAGGGAAATATTAACCAATTAAACATAGAAAAACGAGGCGTGACTGTGGCTGACAGATAAGCATCATCGTTATTTTGTCAGTGAAATAAGATAATTTGTGTATTTATATAATATAAAATATTTAAATTTATATTTAAATTTAAATTATATATTATAATTTATATTGATATAAAAATATAAAAAATATTTTTTATTTTATTAAATTTATATATAATAATTATTAAAATTTTAAATTATGTTAATTTTTATATTTTTTTAATGTTATATTCTTATCATATTAACGTCTGCCATTGGTCAAAGAATGACTTTGAATCTGAATTTGCTAACTGATTTTTTTTTCTTTTACCGACGGGCACAGCTGACGTATTAAGTGTTGAATCATGCGACAATTTACTTTTGACTTTTCGAATTTATAAAAGTTCTCTATTGATTTCTACTTCCATGGTAGAATATTTTTTTCCATTCATTTCAATCAGTCGAGATATTTTTGCTATAAATTAAAGTAGTCACTTTGAATCTTGCAATTGGGTTTTGTCTCAGTAGATTAGCAGCCATGGAATTCTCAGTACAAATAGTTTTTGCACTTGTTGTTGCTTTAATCATCTTCATCATTGGGGCTGTAGCCAGAGTTCAAGGCAACAATAAACAACATAAAAGACCACCGCCCGAGCCAGCGGGAGCTCGGCTGCTGCTTGGTCACCTTCATCTTTTTGGCAAAAACCAGCTAATACATAGAAAACTTGGGTCTTTGGCTGACGAGTATGGACCTGCCTTCTTGATCCGCCTTGGAATCCATCCAACACTTGTTGTGAGTAGCTGGGATGTCATAAAAGAATGTTTCACTACGAATGACAAAATTTTCCCTACACGCCCAAGAACCTTAGCCGCAAAGCTTATGGGCTATGACCATGCCTTGATGGGGTCAGCTCCTTATGGACCCTATTGGCGCCATACAAGGAAACTAGCAACGGTTGAGCTACTCTCTAATCGTCGACTCGATTTACTCAGGGACGTTCGGGAAATTGAAATCAACAATCTCCTGAAAGGGTTGTACAACGAATCAGTGGAAAATGGAGGCGTTGCCGTTGTGCAAATGAAGGACAAGATTTCAGATTTAACAATGAATGTTATAGTGAAGATGATGACTGGAAAAGGATATAGTGGCCCTGATGGGAGAAATGACGAGGAATCCAAACGATGCCAAAAGGCCTTGAATGAATTCTTTTACCTGGCGGGGTTGTTAACGATTTCGGATGCAGTTCCTTTTCTTGGTTGGATTGATCTTCTGACAGGAACGATAAGCAAATTTAAGAACACTGCAAAGGAGTTGGATTATGTGCTTGGAAGCTGGGTGAAGGAACATCGTGAAAGGAAGCTCGCAGGAGATATCAAAGGCGAAACAGATTTCATTGATGTCATGCTGTCTAACTTGGATGATGGCAAGACTTCACAACAAGAGGTAGATAAAACTATCAAGGCTACTTGCCAGGTACGTGTTGATGCTTGGATTCTAATAAATTCTCATTATTGTTTCCATAAATATAATTGACAATCAGGCAATTTTGATTGCAGAGTCTTCTCTTAGGTGGTAATGACACAACTGTGCTTACACTTACATGGGCACTCTCCTTGCTATTGAACAACCGCCATGCGATAAAGAAAGCTCAGGATGAACTTGAAGCCCAGGTAGGAAAGGGCCGGCAAGTGGAGGAGTCAGACATGAAGAACCTCCCATACTTGCAAGCCATTGTCAAGGAAGCATTGCGATTATACCCAGCTGCCCCACTCTCAGCACCAAGAGAAGCCATGGAAGATTGTACAGTAGCGGGTTTCCATGTTCCAAAAGGCACTCGCCTTCTTGTTAACTTGTGGAAGTTAATGCGAGACCCCAATGTTTGGGAACAGCCTTCAGAATTTAGGCCTGAGCGGTTCCTTAATGAACATGTCGAGTTTGATGTAAGGGGTCAAAATTTTGAGTTTATACCATTTGGTTCTGGCAGAAGGATGTGCCCAGGTGTCACTTTTGCTCTTCAAGTCCTTCATTTATCTCTGGCTCGGCTGCTTCATGGATTCGATTTAGGGACTGTGTCAGATCAACCAGTGGACATGACTGAAAGCCCTGCATTAACTCTCCCTAAAGAGACACCATTGGTGGTTACCGTTTCCCCAAGGCTATCACCCAAGCTCTATGGCTGTTAATCAACATCGGAGAGAGAAAACGCCTGCTTCTCAGTCGCCGCCTTCTTCATCCTTTTGGTGCATTTACGTGGATCAATAAGCACATATTTATGTTTCTTCTGCCAAAAATAATATATTGCAAACTTTGTTTTTTATCTTATTTAGACCAAAAATACATGTCATGTTCGTCGGGGAAGTTTTTGTTACTGCATAATGCAAACTGGCAATAACATTATTAAGTCATTTTCCATAAAAACTGTGCTTGTCAATAGATATAGTATAATATTTCCTTGTCAACTAATTATATATAATTATATATTTTTTTATTTCTTAGGTTTGAGGGCAGAAAGGCTAATTAGATAATTTGGATCTTTTTTATTTTATTTTATCTTATAGTTTTCTTGCAAATGAGATCATAACTTGAAAGTTTTTCATATATTTAATTTACAGTGTAATATGAATTAAAGATAACATACTTGTGCCTTTAACATAGCTATGAAAGGTAAATACATAATTGTGTTTGTGCTTAGAAATTATGCATATAAATCAAGGATGGACTAAAGAATTAATGCATTCTTCAATGGCGAGCTATAGTTAATTAATAAATTGAGTTTGGAAGGCTAGGGAAAGAAATGATGTATGGAGAAAAATTATTCATACATAAATAAATGGTATATATGAGAAAAAAAATCAATTATGAATAAAAATTTTAACAATTTTAGCATTATTACATTACTAATTAATGGTTTTTCTATATCTTCGTATGCATGCTTTTTCTCCCCTCTAATTTCAAAAAATCGTTCTCGCGTGCGCCAAAAATATTTGATAAATTTGTGCTCACAATTTTCTTGTCTTGTGACTTACAAATATGCTTTTTTTTGTCTTTTTATGATTAAGATTACAAAGAATTCAACTTTGATCGCCGATATATTTGACTTCCACAGAAAACAGATATATATATAAGTCTTTTTTTATCATTTTAATTTTTATATTATATTTTTTAACTTTTTTATATATATTATTTTTAAAAACTTTTTTGTGGGACTATTTTTTAGTTCTTCTATTTTCTATTTTTATATATTTTATATTTTTTCGATGGTGGCTATAATTTTTTTATAGGCTATTTTTTGTTTTGAATTCTTTTTTGATCATTGTTTATAGACCTATTTTTTGTTTTTTTTATAATTGTGTTATAATTTATATTTTTTAAAAATTTAAGACCTATTTTTTATTATATTTTTTTGCACTCATTTTTATATTTGTTATTCTCAATTTTTTTTGTTTGGTGTTACATATTTTTAACTTTTTGCTTATTTAATATTTAATAAAATTTTAAATTTAATATAAAGTGTCAATGTAGTACCTTTTATAAACTCTTTTTTTTTAATTTTTTTAATTTTTTATTTTTAATTAAAATATATTTTATAAGTAAATAAAATCAATTAAAGTATTCACGTGTTTTTTTTATTTAATTTTTAAAAATTTTTTAATTAAATAATTTTTTTAAAATATGATAAATGTAAATCATAAAACAAAAAAAATTTAACCCGCAATAACATACGGATATAATTGTAGATCTAGTAGCAATGAATAATGTTATAGTGGAAATGTTTGCTGAAAAAAGAGATGGTGACCCTGAAGTAATGAATCGAGACAATGTTAGGAACTTGGCATCGAGCAATGAAAGTTGGATACTGTGCCTGGAAGGTGAGTACCATCAAAGGAGGGTCACTGGCCATACCGATGGCGACAGAGATTTCATTGATGTCTATCATGGATGACAGCAAGACAATATTGCATTAAAACTACTTGTCTGCTACCTTCATTCATCTGCACGATGCATCCCAGCAGAACAAACTTAGGAGTGCACACAATTAATGTTCATAAAGATTTTAATCATTTTAATTAAGTGCTTTGATTGAAATGGTAAAAGGAGTGATGGAAAAGAATCGTCCCGCGTGGTGGGTCCACTTAAATTAATAAGTGGTATTGAATTTGAACTTGCCGACCTTGAATTATTAACTCCAATTTTGTTTTTATTGGAAATTTTTTAGTCAAGGGGTTTATTTATAATTAGCAAAGGAGACTAAACTTTTTCAACCCAAAAAAAAAAAAAAAAGGAGACTAGAATTTCGTTTTGAAATCACTCTATTTAGCTATTTATCTATTTATATTATTAATTTTACAAGCTTTGACTAAGGTCACATGCCCTATTTTCCTTTTTTTTTTTTCATTTTTTACATATTTTAATAAATATTTATTTTTTAAAAAAGTAAAATCCATTTAATATTATTGAATAAAATTTTTTTAATTAAATAATTTTATAAAAAAAAAAAGATATAGTTAAAGATATTGACATAACACTCACATTTTTTTGCTTTTTTTAAGTTTTAATTATTTTAATTTATATATTAAATTTTGTAAGAAAATAAAGTCAATTGAAATATCACGTGACAGACTTATTTGACTGATTTTTTTTCTCTTACTTTTTTTTTATTTTTTAAAATTAAATAAATTTTGTAAAAATAAATCGATAAAAGTAAAAATAAAAAATTAATCGATTTTTAGAGGTTTGGACTGTCATAATCTATATGAATTTTTTTTTTTTTATAATCAATAGTTGGTAGTTAAAGATATTGACATAACACTCACATTTTTTTGCTTTTTTAAGTTTTAATTATTTTAATTTATATATTAAATTCTGTAAGAAAATAAAGTCAATTGAAATATCACGTGACAGACTTATTTGACTGACTTTTTTCTCTTACTTTTTTTTTATTTTTTAAAATTAAATAAATTTTGTAAAAATAAATCGATAAAAGTAAAAATAAAAAATTAATCCATTTTTAGAGGTTTGGACTGTCATAATCTAATATGAATTTTTTTTTTTATAATCAATAGTTCGTTGAGATATGTTTTTTTTTTTTTTAAATCATGCTCGAATCGAAGACTCTAGAGTGCTTCGTCTAGGATATATATAAAAATATTTTTTTTATTATTTGAAGCCATGTTTAATAAAATTGTGAACGTCGGGTTTAAGCAAGTCTCAGTTTTTAAAGATAAATAGCATAGGTTAGAAGTAAATTTAGGATATTTTGCACTGATCATGTGGTATGTATAAAAAATATATTTTTTATTATTTATTTAAATTTAAATTTATATATTATATTAATAAAATAATTATTTAATATTTTGATTTAATAAATTAATATTTTAAATTGAGATCTCTATACCATATCACACCCCCCAACAAGCTTCGCTTGTACTTATTTTTATTTTTATTTTTATTTTATTTTTTGATATTTTGTATTTTAATTACATAAATTTTATGAGAAACGAATGCCAAGTAGGTGTTAGCGTAACATCCCTATTTGATTTTTTTATTCACTTTTTTTATGTTATTTAATAAGATAAATTTTACAAAAAAATAAATTAAAAGATAAAAATAATAAAAATATTTGATTAATTTTGATTTATCTAATAAAATATTTTTTTAATCATTATATTAGGTTAAATCATATTTTTAAAAAATAAATGAAATCATATTTTATATTTAACCACCTTATATATATATATAAGTATATATTTTATTAATATATTTAATTTTATATTTATATATATTATATTAATAAAATTATTATTTTATACCTTAAGATAAATATCTTGAGATAGATGGAATGTCCACGTGTCATCCTCGTGAGCTTTTTTTTTTTTTTTTCTCGTTTTCCCTTCTTTTCAAATTTTCCTTGTCACCGTGAATTTTGCACATTGGTTCATTTGATTGAAGCACACAATGGAATTCTCCATACAGATGCAAGAAGAAATCTTTTTTGCAATCCTTTTCACCATAATTATCAGTATATTTGTGGTTTCCTTTCATGTTAAAGGCAAGAAGAAACATCAGAGGAGACCAACACCGGAGCCAGCAGGGGCATTACCTTTTCTTGGTCACTTCCATCTTTTTGGTACAAAGCAGCTGCTACATAGAGTATTCGGAGACATGGTTGACAAGTACGGACCTGCCTTCTTGGTCCGTCTCGGCATTCATCAAGCACTTGTGGTGAGTGACTGGGAAGTTGCAAAAGAATGTTTGACAACCAACGATAAGTTATTTTCTACACGTCCAAGATCCTTAGCCATAAGGCTTATGGGCTATGACCATAGAATGTTTGGCTTTGCTCCTTATGGACCATATTGGCGCAATATAAGGAAACTAGCAACGATTGAGCTACTTTCTAGTCGCCGGATCGAGTTACTCAAGCATGTACGGGACACAGAAGTCAATTGTTTTATAAAGGAATTATATGAGCAATCAGTGAAAAGCAGAGGCATGGCTGTAGTGGAAATGAAGGAAAGAATTGGCGACTTGGCAACGAACATCATAGTGAGGATGGTCGCTGGAAAAAGATACTATTCTGGTACTGAAGGAAGCTGTGACGATGAATCAAGGCAATGCCAAAATGCCATGGCTGATTTCTTTCATCTGGCGGGGCTATTCTTGGTTTCAGATGCGGTTCCTTTTTTTGGTTGGCTGGATGTTGTCATGGGACATATAAGCAAAATAAGAAGGACAGCAAAAGAGTTGGATTTTGTATTCGGAAGCTGGGTAAATGAGCACAGGAAAAGGAGGCTCCAGGAAAGCAACAAAGGGGAGCAAGATTTCATTGATGTCATGTTGTCTATCATGGATGAAAACAATACCCCAATTCAAGAGGCAGATACTACCATTAAGGCTACTTGCCTGGTATGCTATTGCTAATTCAACTACAATAAGAACACTAAAAATCTGGACTTAATGAAAGTCCTAATCATTTATGTTCAGTTAAATACTCTTCCAATCAGGGATGTAACATAATTACTTAACTAAATATCTATAATAAGTGTAAATTAATTAACATTACCCTTACCATCAATTTCATCTTCCTACAGTCAAATTTTGTAGCATCATCAGAAAACAAATAATATTTGATTGGGCAATGCTGATTGCAGAGTATGATCTTGGGTGGCATTGATACCAATGTGATCACATTAACATGGGCAGTCTCCTTGCTGTTGAACAATCGCCATGGCATAAAAAAGGCCCAAGATGAACTTGACATCCATGTTGGAAAGCATAGGCAAGTGGAAGAGTCAGATATAAAAAACTTGGTATACTTGCAGGCCATTATCAAGGAAACATTGAGGTTACACCCAGCGTTGCCTCTATCAGTACCAAGGGAAGCCATGGAGGACTGCACAATAGCTGGTTTCCATGTTCCTGCGGGCACTCGCCTTTTGGTTAACCTATGGAAGTTGCAGCGTGACCCCAGCATTTGGCAAAAGCCTTCAGATTTCTTGCCTGAGAGGTTCCTTAATGACCATGCCAACTTAGATGTAAGGGGTCAAAATTTTGAGTTTATACCATTTGGTTCTGGTAGAAGGGTTTGTCCGGGTATCACTTTTGCGCTTCAATTCCTGCACTTAGCGTTGGCTCGGCTGCTTCATGGATTCGAATGGGGAACACTCTCGGACAAAGCAATCGACATGAGTGAAAGCCCTGGAATAACTGTTCCTAAAGCTACACCATTAGAGGTTACTCTTACTCCACGATTACCTTCCATCCTCTATGGGTAAACACTGGAAAAATATATGCCATATGCTTGATATTGGTGCATATAGTACTTGATTTGCAATTCATTTTCTTTTTTTTTTTTGACTGCATATTTCTCTGCCTAAATAGACAGTCAAATTAGTTTTTAGTATATTTATTTACATTATTTCATTATCAGTTAATTTAATATTCGAGGTAAAATTTTACTTGGTGTAGTAACAAACATATATAGGAGTGATGGAAGTAAGAGCCGTCTAATGTAAACCAGGCTTCGGCTAACATAGGATGCTTTTGATACTCGTATTTGTTGGAATTTACTCCTATCAAATTCATAAAGACATATTCTGTTTTGACTTAAAAACAAGTTTCTAATTTTTAAACTTCCACAACTATAAACCAGATGCAACGAGCCGACCTCAGTGCTTAATTAGGAAAATTCACATACTGATACTGCTCATCAGTCTGAGATGATTTAAAATTCTTATTGATCTCAAACACTTAAACATGCTGCAAATATTTAGAACAGAACATCTTATATTTAATCACAAGTGTAGAAGTTCAAGATCAGCCATTGTGATCCAATTTCTTTGTTGGCGGATTACATACTTATAAAAAGTAACACCTAAGGATTAGTTCGCTTGAAGCTATCAATAGTTACAGGGACATCGCTGCCTTTGATGTGAAGTTGCTCATATTCAGTTGATTGTGCCCTTGGGGTGCATTTTCCAGCAAATTTCAGGCAGGTGAATCCTGTAAATATCAAAATTCCAGAGAGTATCCAACTAAATTGCAAGTTGGCCAATGCTCTTGCCCTCACATCTGCTTCCTGTGAGCTACAGGTCACTGCTCCATGCATGCTGTCACTGCTGCTTTCAGCCAACTGCATAACACATCCTCGTGGAACAAACTGGGGAGTCCATAGCATAAATCCCATGTTCATAAACCAACAACCTTGGAATACAACAGAAATGGAAAGAACAAGAACCGTAGAAAAACTAGTTGGTAGAAATATTGCTGCTAAAGCAGCCAGGAGAGAGACAAATACTATGAGCTGCAAGAGCCAGTGGTAATGACCTTCTAGTCCAACATGATCAGCTGAGTGGAAATGGAGCAAGAAAAGCTCCTGACCAAGAACAAAGGTCACAAGAATTCCCGGAACAGCAGATAGAATCTCAGAGGATTGAGTTAATTCAGCAGAAAGAGTGAAACCTGCAAATATGGCAAGATGGAGAAATATGCTTGCATGCTCGAAGCTATCAAGTTCAAAAGGAAAGTGAAGAAAAGGGAGGTCTAAAACTTGCATAAAAATTGCAACCAGGGAAAAAGATAAGATAAAAATAAGCTCCAAATTTCTGAATCTAGAAAGAGGGCCATTGAATGGGTACCAAAACCTTACTGAAAATTTCGAAGAGCCTTTGAGACAATAAGCTCTGATATTGTTGATGGTGTGCCATAGGCCAAGAAGGGTGAGTGCCAGGCCCGGTACCAAGTGTCCTACAAATGTTCCCATGGAAGCTTCTGTTTTCAGGTATGGAGGTTTTGTATATCTGTTTTAATCCCGACCAAAACTTATATACCAGAAGTGATTGTAGATATATGTGTCAGAAGTTCATATGGTGATAACATATTCAAATGTTTGGTGCACAATGCATGCGTTTCCACTTTCCACAAACAAAAATGAAAGAATAGACAGCCATTTATTTGAAGCCTTTCAAAAGTTGAAGAGAAAGATGATATACCCGATTAGAAAAGGTAAATGCGTGATGAAGAAACTAACTGCTTCACTTCAAACTAACCAAAATTGACATGAGCAGAAAATCGGGGTAGCCTACCGGAGGATCATGGTCCAGATCAACTTTGGAATACGTCAAAGTCATATGATCTGAGTCATCAGACGAGCACAGATTCATTTTTGCTGTAGGTTGCTGTAGTTGGCTGTCTGTAAAACCACCAAAGAAACCAACTCTTAATTTCATTCAATGTATAAAAGGTAAGGCCAGAACTTTATCCCAGTCACCAGCTAGTGGAGAATGAGATGTCTCCAATATAATAACCACAACTGAAAAAAGATGTTTCCACTCAACCAAGAAATGCATTTCCCCATGGGACTTCATTTACTAAAAACTTTATTAACAAAAAAGAAAAAGAAAAAAGTTGATAATATTCTAGGTATATTACCTTCACATTCTAGTGACATGGAGGAGATGTGTGTTTTCTTCTTTTGGTCCAGCTCCAAAAAAAATAACTAGCAATCGTACCTCCTGGAATAAAGTCCACCACTTATTGAAACTTTTATGGTGCAAGTTCCGTTTAAAACTCATGCAGGTTTCATGTCGAATTGATATGAATATGAATTGTCTCACTGCATATTATGCAATATGCAGCTGAGCATAACTCAAGCAACAAATGCCATAACAAAGTCGTTTACCAATTTGTGCATGAGAAAATGACAGCTCCCATTATGCAGTTTTAGTTAGCAGTAATAATATTCAAAGTTACCAACTTGCAGCAAATATGAGGCAAAAAAACAAATATTGTTCCTATATGTGTACCAAATACTATTCAACTATGTTTAGAAGGTGATCTAGGCTCTTCACCGCTTGCTTAGGTACACAACAAGGGTGGATAGTTGCAGTTCTATATCCAAATTGTCCTCACCTCCTTCGGAACTAATGCAAAATCCCCAACTAGCATTAAAGCACGCATGCATCTAAGGAAGACCATGAAAGTTCAACTATAAAATAAAATGACCTATTATATGTATCAACCGAAACAATCCTTCACAATCTCACATTTTGCATAACAATCTAATTTACAATTCACTTCAAACAGCTATTACAAGTCAAATATTGAGTCAGGTTTTCCAGGTTTTGAATGATACACCCTTACTATACACATTTAACTCTTTCTATTCTTGGCTAGAGAAGGGCATCAGTAACTGGTAAATATATCAATATTGCAGAAACAAAAATCAAGAATTACAAGAATTAATTAACTCAACATCCGTTTCCAGTGTGGTCAAACATAATCAGTAAATGACATCTAGATGCTGGCTCTTTATTTAACTTAAGAAGGCAAGCAACTTTGGAGAATTATGGTGCCTAGGCAAGAATCTGTCTTCACTTCTGGTTTCATCTCCAGCTCCAAAAGTTTTGGCATCAATAAAGCCCATTGCATTATCCATGTCACAGAAGGCCTATGTAACGTAGAGATCTGCATTGATTTTATGCTCCAACAACAGAGTACCAGTCTTAATAAGCCAAAAATGGAATCTAAGCATATAATTATCAATGACGGTATATGAGAAGTAACTTGGCTAGCAGTAGAATTAGCAGGAAAGTTTTTCCAAATTCAAGCATTTGAAACGTGAAAACCCTTTCGAAAAGGTTGTTGCAGCCGTCTTATTTTACCATCAGTGGCAGAACCGCATACTGAAATAACTGGTCAAAAGATGCATCTATCTCATTGGACACTTTGTGTTAGATCTAGGATATTGATTAATGGACAGATTGGAAGTCAGTCACATTAAAATAGAAGGTATATTCCTAAGCTAAAAGAAATTATGAATCATGCACTTGTCTGAAGTAAAATGTGTTTGGACTTTTTTGGGGCTACATATGAGAGGTATAATGGGGAGTCAGGATTCAAATTTTGGACCTCAATAACATGTGTTTGGACTTTGTACATGGACAGGTTTGAATACAGGGAAAATTCACATGTTTCCACATCCCTGCCATCATTCACATGCAAAGGAATTTGAGAACTGACCTTACATATATCTTCATCTTCATTCATCCTGACGGTACAGGTTGTTCCAATTTGTTAAACACAGTTCACCATAGAATTGCATACTTTAGGACAAACAACCATGTAAACAGATTACAACCATTCCCACATACCTTTCCTTGTTCCCCTAATCAACAAGAGTTGCAACTTTCTACAGAGTGATCAATTTTCCCCATCCCCTCAATCAAAGACAAGTAAGTGCTGTCATCAGGGGCAATTCCTTCACTAATCATCTCCTTTAGGAGGTCTTCAGCAAGATCTCCTTCCTGGTTTTTGCAAAAACCTTGTATAAGGGCATTATAAGTGAGAAGGGTGGGATTGAAACCTGCACTCAACATCTCATTACGGACTCTCAATGCATCCTTCATATCACCTCTCCTGCAATGCCCACTAATTAGAGTGTTGTAACTAACGTGATCAGGTTTAATTCCCCTTCTTTTCATCTCATCAAGAAGTTCACGAGCTTCTTCAACTCTCCTCTCCTTACAATGGCCTTGCATCAAAGTATTATAAGTCATGTCATCAGGAGGAACATTCAATTTATCCATTTCCTTCAATAACAAAAATGCACGCTCCATATTGCCATTGGCACAGCGACCATCAATCAATGCATTAAACATTACAACAGCTACTGCAACGACCTTACTCATTACCTTTTCAAACAGGTTTTCTGCTGCCGTCATTCAATTCCATCTACTTAAAACATAAATAAGTGATGTATAAGTTACCTGTGTAGGTTGAATCCCCTTGGTTAACATCTCATCATGAAAACTGAATGCTCTCTTCACATTTCCACAGCTGGAGTATCCATTAATTAAGATGTTATACATAATCTGATCACGAACCAACCCCTTTTAACCAAATCATCAGCCTCGATCATTTTATATTCCATAAACAGAACATGAACTAACAAATTGTAAGTTGAGACAGTTGGTAATATTCCGTTCTCTACCATTTCATCCCGATAACCAAATGCCTTTTCAAATCACCTTTATTGCAATAAAGGTCAATTAAGGTATTATAAGTCACAGCACTTGGAACCAACCCCATTTCTTTCATCTTCTCAAACATCTCAGATGCCTCCTCAAGTCTTTTATCCTTACACATACCACTAATAATCGAACTATATGTGTAAGAATCCGGCTCAATACCTTTACTTCTCATTGCATTCAAAACCAAACGAGCTCTTTCAACTCTTCCTCTTGAACAATAAGCATGAATTATCGTATTATAAGTAATCACATTCGGCTTAACCCCTAAGTTCTCCACAAACCCAATAAAATCTTTTGCTTTCTTTAGCTTCCCTTCCTTGCACAACAAATTTATCATTATATTAAAAGTGTAAATGCTGGACTTAATCTTCATTTTAAACATCTCAGCAAACAAAACCCAAGCACCCTCATTTCTATTCAACTTCAATAATACTTAACATAGCATTACAAGTCTCAATCTTTGGAATTAAACCCTTTTCTTTCATCATATAAAAACACTCTAATCCTTCATCCACCCTCTTCGTTTCACAAAAAGCTCTTATTAAAAAATAAAAAAGAATAGTTGTTGAAGTACCTAACCTTTCACGAGCAAGTGCCAGCTGATCGAAAATGACTGAAACACTGGCAATCTGACTAGAAATGGTTTGCTTTAAGAGTTGTAAAATGGGTTTGGGAGATGGGAGACGAGAGGCAATGGCAATGGCAATGGCAAAGCAACGGGTTTTAATATCGAGTCGGTGAAATTCAACTTGGGAAGTGAATTGGAGGGCTAATTCAGGGGTTTGTGGAGATTAAAAAGGACAGTTGATACAAGAGATGGGTCCAGGTTTGGTGCGTGGTGTTCGATGAAATGCCACTGAGATGAGCGGACTGATTTAACGAGAAGCTCAGGGCATATTTCAAATGATGGAGATTGGGATCAGTCAGAGGTGGTTGGTTGAGAGGTTGAAGAGAAAAGTGCAGAGAAGAGAGAGTGATGATGGGGGACAAGAATAAATGATTTTGGCTTCTGTTGTTTGAGGATTTGAGAGCTGAGGACCTTGTATGCTTTCATGTTATGGAAAGACAAAATAGGGTTTTGAAGGCTTTCCGCCTTTTAGCTAAATTTAAGGCGTGTTTGCTTCGCTCGATAAAATATTGTTACAAATCCAATTGAAACGGTCCCTCAGCGATTTTTTTTTTTGGGTGAAAATAAAAAAAATAATAATAATTTTGCCTTAAATAAGAGGTTAATGAGTAATCTAATGAAAATATATAAGTCAAAATTTATCCATGACTTATATTATTGACATGCAAAAAATAATATAGTTTTGAGAATTTTGTATACCATCATTCAAGAAAAGGGCTGTTTCTTAAGCTCGATTATGAAACAATCATTGGAAAATGTCCTTTGAACGATTAGCATCGCGCACACAGCCTAAAATAATACGTCAAAGACCATGATGCACAAGATAATAAACAAGATAAAATAATAATTTTATAGTATATTTAATTTATATTTAAAAAACAAAAAACTTAATCATTTTCTAAATAAAAAATAATTCAATATTTTCAAAATATAAAAATTATTTTTAATTCATAAATTAAATTTATATATTTTATTATACTTTTAAAAATTATATCAATAATTTAAATTATATAAACTTTAAAAAATTATAATTTTAATCAATAAATAAAATATGTGATTTCAATTCTTACATCTAAAAATTATAAAATAAAATTATTTTATTTTATTTTATTTATAAATAATTTTATCTCACCATATCACAATAATATTATGTACCAAACACATCTTAAAAACTCATAACCATCCTCTGCATCGTCCTCCGCATTGAGTATGGTGCAACAAGTCAAGCAACCACCATGTCGCATGGTTCGATGACAATCAGCTATAATACCATTTTGTATGGTTTGCTATTTGCCATCTGCAATGACAGAAAACAGCAATAACAATATTAAAATTTTGGACTATTTTTGCTTCAGCCAGCTATGGTTGATCAAATCGATTAAAGGTATGACCATCGCATCAACATATGGCAAACTTCAGAAGCTGGAAAAAAAACTTTAAAAAACAAAGGAAATTACTACAATGACCTGAAAGGTCTCAAGCAACGGCTATGGCTTGCCGTTTTGGAGGCTCCAGGTTGTTCTTGGATTTGTTGTCAGCGAAATCCTCGGCGTTGTAGATGACGGTGATGTAGAGAGAACAGCTTGGGCAACGAGCGATTTCCTCGCCGAGCTTTAGCTCTTCTTTTGTGATCTGGAAAAGATCGCCGCATGGGCATGGATATGTGTACGCCCGCAACTCCTCGTTCCACTGCATGTCCTCTATCTCCACGTCGTCGTACGACATCGTTTTGGTAGATCAAAGTTGCAGATTTCTTTTGGGTGCGAAGTTGCGTTGAGTTAGGGAAGACAGAATATTTTGATTTTTTGATCGATTGGGTTTTAGGGTTTGTTTATATTTATACCTTTTTATGTCGGTTTATATGGCATAGTAATGGTTTCTGGGAAAATTTCGATTTGATCCTTTAAGTTTTATATATTGATGATTACTTCCACTTACATTTTACACATTTTATGTTTTTCCTACTTGATCCCCTGTTGTTTGTAAATTTAACCTTAGAACAGGTAAGTTTTTGGGGAAACTTCAATTCAGCTCCTCATATTTTAAGTATTTCCTAAACCTCTTGATTTTGAGACTAAATTGATTTTAGATCATGTTTTAAAAGCTTTAAGAACAAACAATTCACATATTGTCATATTGGCAGACTAGGCTTCAATCTTGAGCATTTTTTCCTTCAATAGAAGGGAGCCAGCTGTCAGAACTTTTTCTTCGGCTACGAAGAATCTCTGGGCTCAGAAAACGTCTGGTCAGTCCATTCAGATTGAGCCCATTGCCGCTACTTGAGATGAAAGGCTTGCTCCAACCCACTTCAAGGCCTGATAAGAATCCCTAGGCTTGAAAAAGGTCTGGTCCGACCTTTCATAATGAGCTCATTGCCATTTCTTGAGATGAAAGGCTTGGCCCAACCCTGCTTCAGGGCCTGATTGATCTTTATATGTAAACATTACAGTTACTGATAATTATTGTATTCTTTGCAGCAATTACTCCCCTTTATTTTTAGTTCATGTATTTATATTTATACCCTTTTGTTTTTTGGCTTTAATAATGGCCAATAGCTGGGCAAAACAGAACCGAAAAAGGAAGAAAAAAATAATAAATGAAAAGAGCTGGAGAAGCGTTTTATTAAACAAACATAAAATAAGTAAATGAAACGAGCTAGATGCGACCAAAAATTGGTGACTTTAACCGACCAAAATCTCTCGTTGTCTGTCTATGTCTCAAAGCACACAGATACCATCACCAAAAAAAATAATAATAATAATAATAATAATAATAATAAAGCACATGGATTCAAAACGATGCATAGGAAATACACTTTCTCACTTGTTTCTCCAGCCCCAAGAATGTGGGCGCCGCTGACAAACAACCGAAAAACCATCCATCAATGTCCTTATATAAACCCAACTAACACTGACCCACTTCATAATCCCAAACTATCAACCCCAGAAAATCTTCAGATATCTCAAAAACCCTTTCAAATATCTTTCTTTGCTTTACCCTTTTGTTGCCTGTTTTTGTCCAGGAAGAATTTTTTTTTATATTTTGTAGCTATGTCTGCGCTTGTGGATATCTGGACTAATGAGCTTGCCAAGCTGCGAGAAAAGGGTTTGACCCTTTCCTCTAGTAGTTCAAGCCCTATTGCTACTGAGTCCAGCCCGGTGGTTCAATCGCAAGAAAATAGCTCAACTGAGATCGCACGAGCTTTTGTTAGTAAAGTCATGCGAGTCAACTCTCCTGTGGTGATGTGCTCTGAGGGTTCTGTTTCCATGCTTGTTCAATGCTTTAGCCCTTGAATAAGAAGAAGAAGAAAGACAGTAACAAAATTGGATTTTGTTCTTTATATCCGCTTCCTTTTTACTGATGTTTGTGGATTTCAAATATCAATGTGTAAAGCTATGGTTTACGAAAATCTTACTGCTATAAGATTCTACGGTTTTGATTGAAACAAAGAAGTGGACTTAGTTGATCGGGATTCTGACAATGTCAGAAACAATGTTGATATATCTTTGCCGATATGTTACGATGAAGTGCTATTGTCTTCTCACAAACTCTGAAACTGACCAAACATGATTAACATAGGCAGAGCCAGAGCATGCCATGTTGAGAACTGAAAAAACAGTACCCTTGCTCCCCTAAATCCTGACATAAGATGCTGCAGTTTTAAGACGCTGCCTTTGCACTGAAAATATATATGTGTATATATATATATATATATATATATATATATAAAGATGCTTGGTTTTGATTAATGGATAGTCTTTCAAAAATAGCAAGCGAAATTATTGTTTTTTTTTCCCAAGCCAAATTACCGTTAGGAAACAAAATCAAAGCCATGCTCTGTGTTCATGGAGTTAGGCTGTTTGATTCTGATTTGTGGAGGGGGAAAATCTACACGAATCAAACCTTGGGCATATTTTTTAATCTACATTTAATCCTTAAACGGTTATGAGACAGATGAAGTATGAAACTTTTAGAAAGATGCGGAGCTGCAGACCAAGTGAAGTGGGGGGAACTGGGGATTTGCATTTGAAATTCAATAAATCACTTCGTGAAATTACATGATGAAATCTATGACTATGCAGCAGACAGTAAACTTGAAAGTCAATTTATTCTGCTCTAAAAACCCATAGACTTAATTTAAAGCAAAACAATAGTTTATTCAAACCAAAAAAATAAAAAAAGAAGAAAGAATAGTTTAATATTGGTCATCTATATCTTAAAGCACACAGATATGTTCATACAGTGAATATGTATCTTCCATTAAAGAAGGTGTGCGCCGTGGACTAACAACAAAACCATCCATCAGGCACCTTTTATAAAATCCAACCCAATAACACTTAATTACATCACATCTCAATTTCTGAACGGTACTATCAAAGATCTGTTAACGATCTTGTATTGTTTATTTTCACCTTACATCCTTTGCTGTCAGTTTGTTGTTAACGAAGATTCCTAGTTATGTCTGGGTTGGTAGATAAGTGGACGACTGAGCTCACCAAGCTACTTGAAAAGGGTCAATCCCTTTTCTCTAGTGGTTCAAGCCCTGCTAGTGTCAGTAGTGCTAAGTCCGGACAGGTGGTTCAAGCACAAGAAAGAAGTTCAAATACCCGAGTCATGCCAGTTAAATCACCTTTGGTGCCCTGCTCTGAGGACTCTGTTTTCATGCTTGTACATTGGTTTAGCCCATAAGGAAGAAGTTGTTCCTTTATTTCCCTTTCTTCCATGGTGGTTTTTGTTTTCTTCCTTTTTTTTGATCCGCTTGTATAAATACATGGCCCTTGAAGTTGAAAAATGTGCTGAAATATGATGTTCTGCTACAAATTAAACTGTTTTGAACCCATAATTTAGCTTTAATAAACAACCATGGAATTGTATCTTTTGATTCCTACATCTTTGAATATCATGGGGAGAATCCGAATATAATCATAACACTTTGAAGTGGTCAAGTTTCAAAGTCAATCAGTATAACAAAATTATAATTAATTTAACTAGATTTTATTGTACCCCATATAGAACTCAGAAGACACAGAAAATAATGTAAAATGGTGTAAGACAAGACAACAAAGTAGAGTTCATGGTTGATTTGGTCAGAGATAAGCTGCCCAAAATTGTAGTCATGTAAATTTCCATATGTGGTTGAAAGAATTAATCGCCTTACTGTATTATTTGGTGAATAGAATTCAAACTTCTGATAAAGTTCCAAATTTTGTGAATATTGAAAAGGAAGAGTATACGTACATTGTTACCAAAAAAAAAAAAAAAAAAGAAGAATATCACATGGCTGGACACAATTTTCTATTCCAGGATGAAACATAATTTCTAACAAGTTTTTGAATTCACCGATCTTTGAAACATGATTGGATTTGTAAATGTTTAACAAGTGTAAGAAAGATATGATATTTATTAAAAAAAAATCTGAAGGGTTTGGACGATTTTCCCATTTCATTATCACTTTTTCAGTTCAATAGAACAGCAAATTTTCCCAAGGTGATTTTCTTTCCCTGGGAAGACTCAATTAGAAATGCAAAATTGAAGGCAATAGAGCACGATAGAAAACAAGAACAAGTCCAGTTCAAATCAGGGGCCCCTGGTGTTCCATTGAACTTTCCAACCTTGAGAATTATTTTTTTGCTTAGCTTCCTGGTCACGTGAACAACTTTAAGAGCGAAGACTGTCTTTTTGGACTTTTCTAGAGAAAAAAACATATGGGTTCCAATACCAAACAAAATACACCATACCAGCAGCGCACACCACTATACAATAATTTCTTGCGTGTATTTTGCTTGCACTCAATCATGTTCTTGATCAACAGATCGGAACGTATGATATCAAAATCAAGCTGTCGATAGAAGATATCATACATCAGATAGAATGGTAGAAAGTGTTGACAATCTTTTCTATACTCTGATATTGAAGATGATATGAGCAAATACATGGCAGAACTTTCCCATAGGAGATACTCGTAGCCAGTATTCGAGAATATCCAGAACCATATCCTTTTCTTCCAATTTAACCGTATCTAGGGGCCGACCACACACGGATTTTTGTTTCCAATGAGTCAAAACCGACACCTTTTACACCACTAATACATACTACTGTGGTTGTGTAAAAACCACGACTCCTCTCATTTATTCTCTTCTATATAAACACTTTTAGTTCCCCTCTTTTTTTCCTTAAACGAAAAGGAAAAAACAAAAGCATATAAACAGATATCAAAGAAGGGAAAAAGGGTTTCTTCTTCAAGTTTTGGTGATAAAAAATGTCTGCAATAGTAGAGGAGTGGATGGATGAGCTAGCAAAGCTCAAAGAGAAAGTCCAAGCAAGAAGGCCATTCTTGTCAATTATGGCTAAAAAAGAGCAGCAGTTTGCCAAGGAAGGACATGTTGAAAAGAAGGAAGCTGCTAAAGATGATACTAAAGAAACTGCAATGTCAGAAGCTACTGTCTGTTTGCTCATGGAACGGTTTGTACCTTGGTGATTGAAAAATGTAAAGTTTCGTTATAGTAGTAATTTGTTCGAGCTTTTATGTAAAAACAGGGTTTCTGATCGTGCCCTGTGTAATCAGAGGTGTTTTAATGTGGATATGTTTTCATCATTAAGTTTATGGCCGTTTTGCTTTGAATGTTCATTCGTTTTGTACATGATTAGCTGTTCTTTAAAAATCTCCAGCAATGGTCAAATGGGTTTCGTATTTCTTGTTACCTTATTCTCGAGGAAAAAAATTGGAGATTTAAAAGTGATTAAAGCAATGTTTTTTATCTGATTTTCAAGCTGTACGTATTTTAAGGGAATCCAGTAATTATTGATTAAAGAAAATTTACTTGAGGATCTTTGTCAAAAAACAAGATATATACACTGGGTCATGATTGAGTTCTATGATTTGGAACTAAAAAAAAAAGGGGATCTGCAGTGGCAGAAAAAACAACATTGTTTCAGCTCTATGAATCTGATTTTCCTACATCTATTTACAAGTGGGGTTTTACCTTGTTTAATGTTAAAGAAAAAAAAAAGTGGGTTATGGTTCATGAAGTTGAGCTTGCCTCAATATCTGTAGACGACTCGTTGTTGTTAACGAAGCTATTTTCAATGTCGTCCCACTTAAGAATATCTCTGGTGTATCTTAGCGCTTCATCAACAGAATCATTCTCCAAGCCGGTAACCATGGAAACGTACAACTTACGATCAGTAAGACAATGGAATAATCTCTTGAACTTCACAGCGATATAATGGAAGGCACGCTGTGGTAGTGAAGAGTGATTATTTCTATTATTGCAGTGGTTGTTATGGTGATTATGGCTCATAACTGGATTGAAGTCATGAAACCATTCACATCGAGTGAGAGGAACCTGCTCAATCTTTTCTTCGAGCAGATCAGCTTTGTTGAGTATTAGAAGGAAGTCCTTTTGCTCAAAGGTTGGATGGGTGACTATACTTTCAAACAGTTGCTTGCTTGCCACCATTTTGTTTATGAGAACTCCATTACTGTCTAACGAAAACTCATCATAGTCGGTCAAGGAGACGCAAAACAGGACAATATCGATGTCTTCAAACATTTCCACCCACTTACAGTTCGCCCCAAGGCTACTGGGATGCAATCTAATAAGTTGGTACCTGCAGATTCAGAGCAAGGAATGCTGCGCAAGATAAATATATGTAATTTAACTTCAAAGTGATACTAACACATGGTCAAATCTACTTATTATTGTGACTAAAAATGAGCATTCTTTTGATTTCCATTTTTTTTCTAAATAAAAGAAAAGCCCCTAATCTCTATGGAAGATTCCTACTTTTGGCTGCATGAGAGATAATTTATATTTGAACAATGGAAAAAAGGACTGCTTAAATTCATTGAAGAAGAATATGAAATCTTCCATGCAGCCTACAGCCCCAAGGAAAGAAACAAAATTTCTTGCTATTTTTGACCAAGTGTAAGGCTCCACTTGTTTGGCCAAAATTCATAAATATGAGCTTTAAGGATGTGTGTAGATGCAATGAACTGTAATTTGGTTGGAGGTGGTTGAAGTGCAGCTTATCAGTCATCAGTATCACCTACGACTCGATCTTTCTATTCCAAGATGAGATTTACTTGAGACCTAAGTGATCAGAAGACATCTAAACAAGTTTTAAGGCATTTGCAGAATATAAAAGTAAACAATTTATCATGGAATAGAATACAACTAACCTCGCTGATGGATCATGCTGATAACCATCAATAGGGTTTTCTCGTTCTTTAGTAGGAAAAGAGAACTCCATGCAAGAAAGTCCATTGGATGATGTAATTCCCTCAGCATACAAGATATCCATTTCAGAGGGCTCATAATCTGTCATTGAGATCTCAACAGCCTGAGAAGAAAATAACTTTAAACTATTAGAATTGCTAAGAAACCTGAACGCTACGAAGTGAAGAGATATTAGTCATAGAAGTGAAAATGTTGCCAGATCTTGCACTTCTTTTCTTCAAACTTCAATGAATTAATTAAGATACTAGAAATTTCATCTGCCCGCTTTTAGTTTTATTATCAAATTGTTTTAGTTGGCAGGATAAAGAAAATGTTAAGTGGCAGTGGAAGCAAACTTGGAAGTATACTGCAAACTATGCATGTTATAAAATCAATGAACAATGTATAGAATAGCAAAGCAGGAAAACATCAGTAACCAAATTAGACGAACAGATTTTAATAACCAAAAAGCACACAAAAAATAAAAGGCCGGAACTTGAATAACCCAACATAACCTCAAGGACATATACTGCTATCAAACTAAAACCCATAGAACAGGCTTACCCGTTCTAGGAAATAAGTAGCAACTCTAGGTAGCATTTCTAGTTCATGCCTCCGGTTATATGTGGCCTGAAAGGCTGCATCATTCCACAGCTCCCTAATAAATGGGGCATATTCACGAGTAGCAGCAGGGAAGATGACTTCCAAATTACCAGACACCATCACTTGGACAAGCCAATCCGAAAAAGCTGTCAGTCTTGGGGATATGGAATATTTTGTTTTACCATCAATCTGGCTTGCACTGCCTGTTGTCAACAATGAAGCTCACATTAAGATAATTATTCTATGCAAAATGCAAGTTTCTTCTAGCCAAATATATTACAGGAAATCTAAACACAATTCATGAAAAATAAAAACCTATCAGCATGGGAAATTAAATCAGTTAATGACTCGCAAAACTGTGAGAATATATCTCAAGTGCAAGAACAAAACTACTACAACACTTTTAAAGGAAAAAAGAAAAATAATAGTAACAGTGATATAATTAAGGCCATTGAGATACAACAGATTGCCATGAAAAACTTCCCTTTCACTGGTGAATTTGTCTATTAAGCTTGTGCTTTATATATAGTAATATTGGGAAAACCTAAAAGTAAGTACTTAAAGCCCTGTCAGCCAGGGCTTTTACAGATCATCTTGCTATCTTTGAGGTTTATCACAACTGTTAGAAGTATTACAGGGGGGGAAGTTTAAAAGGTTTACTTGAAAATGTATCTATAAAGAATAAACTGTAATGTCAAAAAGGGTTAAAATTATAATTTTAATCAGTAAGAAAATACACGGAAAATAAGAAAAAAACATTGGTGAAAATGCATACTGAATAAATCACTATTAATGTACCTGAAGAACCAGATCCATCAGCAATTTCCCTTTTTCTACTCTCTAGTAAGATTTCTTCTTCAAACCGTTCTCGCCCCTCGAGCAATATAGCAAGATAGCCATAAAAATTGCTTTGGATCATCACTTTCATATTTTGGCGCTCATTTTCAGAGAAAGAAATATTATACAGAATCCTGGCCTGAAATAAGCAAGTAACTAATTTAACGTTTCATTTAGACAGCCTATTCTGCATTTCCAGTGTCACAAAACCAAAGTTTAGCAGTCATAAATATCAAGAAATTTTTAAATCATAATTGAAGGTATTTGTGCGCCTAGAAGCATCAATGAGGATTCATATTACAATCTTGATCACCAGTTGCATATTATGTATTTGTAGTGGCTTAAGAAATAGAAAGAATTCAAAAGGTTATTGTAACAATTCCATCACTCTTGTTCAAGCTCCTCAGTCTTTCAAAAATTGTAGATTGTATGTCAAAGGCCTCCGTTCATGGCTGAACTGATGAGCCATAGCAATTCTTGTGGACAAAGCTCAATGTTAAGTCAGCTTAAGATCCAAGATCTCCATCTATGCTGATGGAAGGTAAATAGAAGGTTACGATGAAAAAGTAAATAGATTCTATGTACAGCCACCAAAAAGGCGGAAAAGGTTAATTGAAGTGAGTTGCTTCCATTGATATATTACCTGCTTATATATTGTAGTTGTGCCAGATTTTTGATAGCCAACTAGAAGAAGCTTATGAATTGCTTGCTGCTCTAGGGTTCTCTGGCTGACATCTTCTCCAGCTGGATTCACAGTATCAGGGGGAACCGGCAAAGACAACAGAGCACAAAAAAGCTTAATTCCGATCTGAAAATAAGGTACATCCATGTTATTACTAGTACATGGCATAAAGGAAAATAATTATGCCTATGCAAATATACCCTGTCCCATATAGGCCCCTTCACATGCTTCTGACCCTCTTCCTGGTAGGATCCATCTGCACTTAGCCAAAAGCTAGGTTTTCCTTCACAATGAACTCCTGCCAACTGCAAATATTTAACAGAATGTCATTGAGCTTAAATGTCTAAAAATTCATAATTTAAACGAACTCAATCATGTACAGCACAACAACCTGCAGCATCCATAGCTCTTTTTTAGTAATCTCTCTATTGTTTATGACTATTTTTGCCTTTCCATTGCTAGCATTAGCCTTGATGTTACCTCCAACATTTAGCTGGGCAGTAATAATTTGGCAAGGCCCATGTGCTTCCTGATTGTTTGACGGAGCAGTAGTTCAAGTTTAATGGAACAGAATGGAAGCTAGATTACTTCTATTAAAAAGAAAATGGAAAGACGAGCAAAGTTTGGTTATTACCTTTCCCCAAAATCCAGATGTTTTATCATACCAATAGTATCCTGGATTTAGCTTGTTTGGTGGGTTTTGGCAGGTCTGCAAAACATGCAACTCATCTTGACTCAGTGGCTCTCCATTCACAAGAACCAGCTCAGATGGTAGATGGTTTGCCTTGCACGTCTTCTCAGAACTCATTGCCTGTTGAACTGCAACCTCATTGAGCAGCCGCTTGAGCAGCCGAGAACATCTTCCAAGACTTCCTCGCCTTGACTCATTTATCTTCTTACCTATGCAAGTAACACATTTTCTTCCCTCTGGCATCGACCCCATTGCTCTCAGTATACACTTATAACAATACTTAGCATTACAGACAATACAAATCTCCTTTTCTATAAACCAGTTTCCCTTTAAGCAGCTATAACATGACCCCTTTTCCCCTTCCTTGCAATAGGTTGTGCAGCATGGATGCTTTCTGTCTCAGAATAGTTGGACTCTTCCTGAAGCATGTCACATGATTCAGGATCACGGAAAGTTACAACAGATGGTCTTTTGACATGGCAAGGAGTCTCATTGTTACCATCCTCCCCTTTTTGAGAAAATACCTCAGATGATGAAATTGCAGGTGAGCTTAAAACTGACTCTGTTGTATCAGAATCAGGAGGATCCATATACTTCTGCAACCCTAAACCTTCCTCAGGATCATCGGTTAGCTCTAAGTCTGGCAACCCTCCTGATGCTTTACCCAAACTACCATGAACATCAGAAATTTCCAGAATGCCAGAACTTCCTATTCCATCACGTAATGTCGTCGTGCACCCACCAGCAATTCTCTGACCTGATGAATCCAAGGCATCGACTAGAATTGATGATTCATTAGACACACCAGGACGATCATTGGATTTTTTAGCCGAGCCAGGTTCAGAAACAAATCTTTTATCTTTGGACAGTTTTTGGTTCACTGGATTAGTCTTTACAATTGGTTGGATAACTGGCAATGAAATATCTTTCAAAACAAAGGAAGATGAGACAGTGGCAGCAGTTGGGAGTTCGTCAACGTCCACCGGAACTGCCTTGGGGACATCAAAAGCGACTGGAGGACCATGGTACTCAATAGCAAATGAGTATTCAATGTTATTATCATCATCACCATCATCATCTTTACGAGATGATTTCCCAACAGGAATAATTTTTCTTAAAAGGCCGGCCATCGCTTCTTTTAAGTCTGAATTCCAAAAGTTAAACAACCAATACCAAATCCCACAAACCAGAGAAAAATAACCAATCATCTCAACAACCCATGAAGCAAACCAAAAAACCTCAAAAACCCATAGAGCAAAACAACCAACATAAAAAAAAAAAAAAATCACGAAGTATAACCACCAACAACCAAAAGAATCAAACTTTAAAACCCATTAGCCACAAGAACAACAATTTGCTAATAACCCATTCAAACAATCAAATAAATCCACATTTCTTTCCTTTCATCACCTAAACCATGCTGAAAAAGACTCTCTTATGTTCTCTTTCCTTCTTTGAGGTCTAAAAGAGAAAGAAAACTAAAAAGAAAGATGGGAAATCTACAAAGGTTGAGACCGAGCAGTGATGAGAATGGAAATGGTGTTGCTGAGTCTTCTTCTATTACCAGTAAACGATGGAGACTGGAGAGATGACTGAGTAAGACATATTTGTCTCAAATTTATTCCTTCTTTGTCCACGTCACCACGCTAGAGAAGAAGCTGTTGGGAAACACGGGGGGTAAAGGAAAGACGAAAATCGGAGAGCTCTTTGTTGCTTGAAAGTTGAAATGTGTGGATTTTCAAAGGACAATTAAAAGCATGTTCACTGCATGTTTCGTTCAATAGACAGAGTCTTCAGTGGAAAACGGCCGAAACTGGAGGCTAATTTGTGTTTGACTTAATTTTGCGATTACGTCATCTAACGTTTTGATTGGACCGCAATTTGCAAGTAAATCGAGTAAATGCGAAGGAAATCACAAGAAATTTTTAAATGAAAGGGTTAAAATTTTTGTTTAAACTTGGGTTCGCCAGAAAAGTTTAATCATATGTATTAAATTTTAAAATATTATCAATAAGTTATTGATTTAATTAATTAAAATTATTTTTTTGATAAAAAATTTTAAGTTTGAATTTTATTAATGATCATTTGTTGAAGTCATATCGAATACACAATTTATAATTATCTATTTTAAATTATCAGATACGATACATCTTATCTTAATTTAAGTGATTGAACAACTTATTTATCTTGAATCTTTTTTATCAAAAAAATTAAAAAATTAATATTTAATATTTTAAATAAATATGTAAAATTAAATTAAAACTCTTTTCATTAAAAATATTCTTATCGGGCTTCAAAAATTTTATTATGAATTTAGTTCGAATTCAATTTTATTTACAAATAATTATGGTATAAAAAAACATTTTAAATTACTTATAATTATTTTTTTATGATAATAACTTAGAATACTAAGAAAATTCACACCAACAAAATTATAAAACATGGATGATAAGTTTTAATTTCAAAGTCAAAACATATTTACAAATTTATAAATTTAGAATAGGAATATCATATACTTTTTCACAAATTTATGTACATAGTTTAAGTTGAATTCAAATTAAATTATTTAAATAGAAAAAATGTTATCGAATTCAAAAAAAAAAAAAAAAATTCTAAATGAAAGTATTGAATGGGTTAATGTATGGCTTTTCTTTTTCTAAAAATAAAAGAAATCAAGTTTTGACATAGCTTAAGTAAATAAAAAGACAAATGACCAAAAAAAAAAAAGTAAATAAAACGACAAAACTCAAGCAATGAATAAAAAAAAAAAATTGTAAGTTTTTAATTGTGACATGACATCACCCACTGCTTGAGGTCTGACTTTGACTTGGTAAATAACGAAATCAAAAGGGAACATTATAATTCTATGCATATTATTAAAGTTATCACTTCTGTCAATTTTTAAAGTCAATAACATGAAATATAACTTAAGGGTTAATTTTGAAAAAAATAATTATTTATTATCAGAGATAGACTAAAAATGAAATGGACCAAGTAAAATCAGACTTAATGATTTTATTTGTGCTAAAAACTAAAATCCAATTAACATTTTGTTTCATTACTTTTTGGAAAAAAAAATATATTGTCCTAAAAAAATAAAATCATTATATATTATAATAAATTAATAAATTCAATTATAATAATAATGGATTAATTTTTGAAAATAATCTATGCATATATATATTTTTTAATTTGAGAATTAAATTCAAGTAACTGTAAAAAAATTAGAGTGAATAAAAATCATATATACATACTATTAAACATATTTGATTATATTTTTATTTTATATAAAATTATTATGATTTCAAATAATTAAATATTTCAAATATTTTACTAATAAATTATTAATTTATTTGAAAATGTGTGAATTTAAATTTTTATATAATTATTAAGTTAAAAAAATTAAAATTAAATTTTATTAAAAAATAAAAGAAATTTGTGATCCGAGTAAAGCAAGAAAAATTTTCTAACTTAACATTGAAGCAGCCGAAGTGGTTAATATATGATTTTCTTACTCAAAATTGTGATTCAAATTCCCCTTTTTTCAAATGAAAAAAAAGTGTGAAAGGTATTTATTAAATTGTTGTGAAATTATTAGGGTTTGAGAAATTTGTAAGAAGAAAAAAGAAAAACAAAATTATAGGAGTTATTTTGTTGGTTTGGATCCACACATTTGTGGCCTTATGAACAAGTAAAATCTATTCCCTGAGGCCCAGTAATCTTGGGGGTTAGCTCAAGCCCATAATTTGGTCCTTCCATAGCCCAAGAAAATCCAATCCATCTAATTTTCATATTTTTTTCCTCTCAATCCAACCAAACAAAGGATCAAATTCAAGGATCCATAAACACAAAAATTAATGAAGAAAATAACCATTTTTTATATACAAATTGAAAGTTGAAACTCTCCAGAGGGCAAAGGCTTGTCAATTTATATTGATATTAACAAATGGTTGGATCGAGGCCATTAAAATTCATACAAAATTTCTTTTCTTTCTATTTGCTGGTGAATATCCCTGCTAGAGATTCAAGGGTATCGGATATATAAGCTTCCAGAGGACAAGCCACATGTCTTGTAATAAAGAGAGGTGCTGACATCTTGATTTGTCATTATCTCCGAGATCTCATAACCAGTTGGTCAATGCATGGTTTTAATCACGTGAATTAAAAGCTTGGAAAATTATGTGGTTTTACTCAAAATTATAAAGCATACGGTATTTAGCCATAATATGACACATATGCATATATGATAAGCTATTAAGCTTCTCTAATTTATTGTCCAAAAAAGAAAAATAAAGTCAACTACTCAATAAATTTACCTAATTATAAAGATTGACTGTAGAATTTACATAAATTGTTTGGCTAAACTTCAATTTGTGTTCATTCCATATGCATATATCCCAAGTTCCCAACTAATGAACCTGAAATATATTTGCTATACGTATCACACACGTTGCAGCATAAGATTGATAATGGAGGGAAATTGTATAGTAAAAAAGAAAAACCCAAAACAGCAAATTATTGGGATCAATAATTTTGGACTCAAAATTGCAGTTAAAACTGGAGATTCGACAAGAACATGTTCATCTTAGTATTTACAAACTTAAACCGGTAAAGCTTGAATTTAAAATTTGCACAAATGGGACAGTAAATTTGTTCACGCGAACCTCTTGGTCCTGGCCATGGCAGCCGGCCACATTAAAATTTGTAAAAAGGAACCAAAAAGTCATTTGCCAAACCAAAAACTTTGTCAACCTTGTGCTATCAGTAACATGCCGAACTGTACTTTTCAACAGGGAGGCGCCTCCCACTCCCCTTAAAAAGACATTTACAAAAGACAGTTTTTATGTGCTTCTAATACATTACATATACAAAAGACAGCAATCACTAATTAATCATATCTTTTCATTGCAAACTTCGAAAATTTGAAATACCCTCTTTTACTCTTTCATAGGTGGCACTTTGACATTGGCTGAAATCATTCAATTTCTACACGTTACGCCGTCCACACCCACCAAAAGTGCCTTCGAGGGTAAGACTCGAATCAAGATGGTCCAAGAGCCAATTGGAAATGGATCGGACCACGAAATAACAACGCCTGCGCCATGCAACTTTCTAATATGCCGTGAGTCCGCGTGCTATGTTCCTTCGCTTTCTCTGTTTTAACTTTGACTATGCCTGTCTCTTGGCTCTTGCTGTTAGGGAAAAACCGCATCACTCTTACCTCTTTCCCTTCACCGTGTCACCATTAACCGTGTAGCTGTTAAGGTAAGCCTGCTTAACCTCCTTCAATTCGGGCGCGTATTGGGACACGCGCCACACCTTGACGGACTTGTCAAGGCTACCACTATAAACAATAAACTTCCGATTAGCCTTGCTTGATGTTTGATGATCTTCTTCAACGGCTAGGCATTTTATGGGACCAGTGTGACCTGTTAAGACAGAAAGGCAGGTGTGAATCCCACCTTCTTCTCGTCTCCAAACGCATATGCTCTTATCAGCTGACCCGCTGAACACCAAATTCCCAGATGTAGCCAAGCACAGCACAGCCATTTTATGGCCCCTTAGGACCCCGCCATGTGAAAGGTGCTTTTCACATTCCCAGAAGTTAACAAGCCCATCAGACGATCCACAATACAGCACAGCTGATTCTTTGTTCACAGCCAACGATGTCACGGCGTTTCCTTGCTTCAACAACAATTGAACCAGGAAATGTTTTGTTCCTTTCCCCTGTAACTCTCTCTTCCAAACCTTGACTGTCCCATCTGCCGACCCCGTAAACACCAAGCCATCTAATCCAGCCACAACAGAATTTATTGCATCATCATGAGCATCAATGGATTCCAAGCATTTCGAGTTCGCTAGTCGCCAAACTTTCATGGTTTTATCCCAAGACCCTGAATATAACAACCCAAGTTCTTCATTCAAGCTCAAGCAAGAAACCGCGTCAAAGTGTTTGATTCGAAGAACGCTACGGTTTCTCCGAATTTCGACGTAGTTGTTAGGTTTAACAGAGCTTTTAATTAAATCTTTGAAAGTTGGCAAACTACTAAATCTTTTGTGGACGCTAGGGTCTGTTGATGAAACCTTCCAGACACGGATTTTACCATCTTGGTGACCAGTAAATATCCTATCACCCAATATAACAATGGCTTTAACCAAGCCACTTTTAGCTTTAAAACCTGATAACTCCTTCAAGTTCTTCCATGCGCGGATGTTCTTGCTATCAGAACCCGTATATAACAAATCTCCAAAAGCAGCTAACGAATAAATATGACCTTCTTTTCGTACAATTGACCCGATAAGCCCGTTTTGGCCAAAATCAGTTTCGATCGTAGATGGGGTAATCCATGGGGATTTGTTGCATGGAGAAGCCTCGTTAAATGGTGACATGACGTAAGGAGAACCCTCGCCGCTTGTTGTCGTGCTGTTGGAATGCATCGGGCTGGCCAAAGAGGCACTGCTTTTACGATAAGGGGACTCGTCTTCGACACCAACGTCAACGTTATTGTTTAAAGCAAACAAAGAAGGCTCAGATTGGAAGAGAGTACCCAGATTTGGTCTGCTACGTAGCCTGGTTTGCTCCATAACCATCGTCCCACCCTTATCCTTTCTCATTATATTTCTGGTAGAACTGAAAATATTTGGATAAGAAGATTGAAATTTGTTGTGCCCAACCTGAAGAAAAATTTGGAGAAAATTTTCTAGAGATCTTTTGACGGTAAAATGAAGATTAAGATAGAAATTTTGACTGTTGCTTTTGATTTTTGTTTTTGAAAGGATTTGAAAGACAGAAGGAACAGTTGGGCAGAAGGAATATATATATAGATGGGATTGAATAATGGTAGGTAATGTGAGGCTCCGGGTTTTCGACACATGGTGGGTGAGACGTAATCATTAAGAACCGGCGAACCGGATATGCCGGTAACAAGGAAACTACGATAGCGTTGCTTTTTTTTTTTTCTTTCGTCCTCTTTCTTCATTTCTTTATTTTTTTTAATGAATTAATATTTTATTAGGAGTAATAATCTATTTAAATTAATGTAATTTTTATTTTTTTCCATTTTTAAATTTATAAATCTAATTTTGATTTAAAAATTAAAAAAAAAAATTATTTCGTTTATTTATTGTTTTATAGTAATCGTTAATGCTTGGTGTTAGGCGGCATTTAATCTTCACACGTTAGATTAAGTTGGACAATATCTGAAAAGGGAAATTTTGAAGGATTTGCGGAAGAAGAAAATTGTTTTTTGTATGTGAAAGCGTTTGGATACTAGATGTTTGACCGCAGGTTTCCATAGTTAGGAAGATATTGACCATGGAAAGTTGAAATTGTCAAAAGCATGCAAAAACTTTTTACATTGTGAAACCTTTAGTAAAAGAAAAAATGGTTTGTAAAATGGCCTCGACCTTCTCCTGCAAGCTAGCTAGCTCCAATTCTATAAATGTTACTGAATATTTTTTTTCTTTGGAATTTTTCTATATTTGATAATTATTTTAAATATGAATTAATTTAAAATTGAGCCGAATTGAATTTCATAAAAAGATAATTTTTTTTAAAATTTTTTTATTCATAAAATTCAAAATCAATATCTTACTTAAAAAAATAAAATCTTTGTTACTCAAACTAATAGACATTAATATATTATTAAATTTTAATCACTGAAATTATAATTTAGCCTTTTATGAGTCTCTATTAATAGTAATTACGTGTTGAATGAATCTATCTTATGCAAAATAGTTAAAGTGTTGTTATTAGATTTTCAAGAATAACCGTAAAGAAATTAGATATGGAAAGGTAGTAGTTCAACTCAAGCAACATTGCCACCCAAAAAGCTTAGTGTAGCAAATAATGATTCCTTAATATATATATAGGATTTAAAGTAAGATGTCAGAAAAAGCTTTGTTTTCCTTTTTTTCTCCTTTTTATTTTGGTTACTCTTGTGTCTTTTTCTAAGACTTTAGTTATTAGATCCATTCATTACATATTTAAGTATCTAATCAAGATTATGATAGTATTAAATTAAATAATATTATCTTATTTTATATTTGATATATGAAAATATAAGATAATATAATTTATTTATTTGTCAAAATTATTTTTTTTAAAATTTATATAATTTAAATTATTGATATAATTTTTAAGCCTATAATTGAATATATAAAGTTAATCTCATAAATTAAAAATAATATTTTTTATTTAAAGATGATTGAATAATTTTATGCTAAAAAAATATTAATCTTTTTTACAATTTTTATTTCTCTATTTAAATATAAATCAAATATCGTATAAAATGATTAATATTCTATTCTATTAATAATTCTATGCATCAAACATGATTAAGTATATAACATGTCGTGACTTGTTCATATTCTAACCTAATTTACCAGTAAGGTGATTAAGAGGTTATTTTCACTATTATTAGCTTGTTGATCGAAACATCATACTGGCATGCAATTGCGTTTCATAGAAGTAGTGCACCTTTTACTATGTACAATTTTCACCGAAATTATCAAATTTGCTTAGTACTGACTTTGGAATAAACGTATACAAAAATTTAAGGATGCATATGGTGTCAATATTTTGGTGCCAATATGTATATTGAACCAATTATAACAGATTTTATGAGATTTGTTGAGATTTATTTGAAAATTAATATTGCTTGATGATAAAAAAACTTGAAAAGAAAATTTAAGAAAAAAGTTCTTAAAGTAGTTTGACTTGCAAGAAAAGAATTTTAAAAGGAAAGAGATTCTTAATAGGTAAGTTTAACTTACAAGAGAAAAATTATAAGAGAGAAGGATTCTTAACGGGCAAGTTTATATGGTTATAAATATGTGAAGTCTCTACAGGATTAGGTATGAGAAAAAGATGTAAGAAAGTTGTAAGATTTTATGGGATAGACACCCTATAAGAGTATTAGAGCTCTACATCTTATGAGGTATGTATGTTTGTTTGTAAGTGACTAGAGGAGACTGAGAGGGTCCACATAGGTATGATGTATGGGATCATATGGGTATGTATTTGGTTATGTTGAAAGGGTGCACAAGGGTTTGAATTTGTATTTGTTTGGGTTGAGAATACTACATAGGATTAGAGGAGATTGAGAGTATCTTATAAATATTGATTGTTGAGTGAGGTTGATGATTTGATGTATGTTTGTAATTCTCTACAACTAGTGGATCTTGTTTCTCATCCGTAGATGTAAGTCAGTTGAACTAAATCACGTTAAATTATTGTCTTTTGTGTGTTTGATTTATTGTTTGATTTTATTTCCGCTGATATGATTGGATTAAAAGTTTTTAGCCCAACAAATATTCCGATTGATTTTTTAACATTATATCCAAGGTGATGATCATCTTCATATAAAGTCTCTAAAATGAAAGAGAATTGTTTATTTGAATATGTGTAGAACCAGTAAAATATGGTACATTCAACCATGACAATGAATCTAGATTCATTTAAAAGTGTATCTAATTGTTCTTAATGTTGTATAAGCAAAGCCAATATATCATTCATTGCCGATTTAATTATTGGCTTTTTTTTTATTAATTAACCCTTGTAAATAATATTATTACACCATTTTTTCTTTATGGCATGACTCAACTAGTTACAGTAAGTAGTATGCAAATATATCTACACTAATAATAAAATTTCTAACTGAAATTGGTGCCACAAATCAAGTGACATCAATCGAGTTGCAAAAGTTACTTAAAAGCCACATAATAAAATAGTAGATGTATATTTTTAGTGGCATTTTGGTCTTTTAATTTTCTTTTAAAATAGAAGTTTTATTATTTTCTTTCATATTTAAATAATAGTAAATTTTTAAAATTTTCTTTTAAATTTTTAATAATAAATTATTTATTATTTCACCTATATAGTGGGTGTGCATAAAACTAGTTTCTATTTATCTCAATGGTTAAACATGTATCTATCCATCCTGATATTAAAACTCTTGATTGAGTTGGTGTCACACTCAGTTGAGAAAAATATAAAAAAAAAAAAAATTATAATATCAAATAGTACAACAAAAGCATTGACCGTAAAGAAGTTTGCTTCCATTTCAAGCTTCAATATATATTCGTAGCAGGTCTGGCAAGGCTTTTTTTTATTATTATTTTGAAAGTGGAAAAATTTCTAATTTAACCTTTAAATTAGGCATGTTTTTAATATGTATGAATTTGGTAAATTGCCATATATAATAGTAGTATTAATAAACACAGTATAGCTTCCGGGAAAAACTTAAATTTCAATTTTCATACGACAAAAATGGAAAACTTTGAACTCAAAGTCTCGAGTGGTCGTAAAGTTTGGTGAACCACACGCTTTTGGTTGCCTCTGTTGAAACGAAGTCCGGTCGTAAGAACCATGCCGCGGCGGCCCATTTCCTGATCGGTAGAGAAAACGACCTTCATCATCCCACAGACGCCAACGGCCACGAAACTGCTTCATATTATATTATATATTTTCCCAATTTATAAACTTTTTTAATTGTGGGTATGCTTCTCATTGCCACGTAATCCACGTAGGAGCCCTTTGCCAATTGCATGTATACACGTGTCCTGACATGTCACATCACGTTTGCATGATGGCGGTTTCTGCCAAAATGGAAAGTAGGACAAACTACATATCAGTTTCTTAATCAACCGGAGACAAAGATACTTGTCTGGGGCAACCAAACATGTGAACTGTGAAGCTATTGTACTATGGAGGGTCTGGGATTTAGTAATTCATCAATTATTGGACCAACATTTTTTTCATAGATTGGAAACAACTAATATTTGAATTCAATTCCAAGGCAAATATATGAAAATATTTAATTCAGAAAATTATTTTTAAAAAAATATATTTAATAAATTTAAATTTTAAATTTCAGATTACAATTGTAATTTTTTTAAAAAAATTAGACTTAATATATTGATATTAGCATGTAGGAGATTAATAAATAATTTATTGTAATAAAAAAAATTTTGATATGAATTCAGTAGGAAAAGAGAAGATGATTTGGGTATATGCATAGTCAAGGATATAAAGGAGCTGGTCGGCATAGCCATTTATGGTCTATCAATTTTATACATGTATAAATTCAACGTATATCCTTATTATTGCTGGTAGTTGTGGAATATTAATATCTTTAATTATAAAAGCTTTTCTTGAAATTTTGGGTCACTGTTTCAAAAAAAAAAAAAAGGCAGTTGACTTTGATTGCAATGAGCCAATTTGAGTTAACGACATTCATGGCCAACAATGTCAACCTGATTTCAATTATTGAGAGAAAAAGTACTATTTGATTTAAATCACTTGAAATTTTATCATTTCATTTCCTATTCTCTCTTTTGATCATATACAAATTTATTTATTTTTTCTATGGTTTGGAAATTGGAGCAGAAAAAACAAGAAGAGATGATAGATCACTACGTGTCCATTGAAACATTTATATTAATAAATTTTGTTCGTAGTGTGGGGGACTATATGTCATATTCTTCAATGGAAATTAGCATATAACTTAATTTTATTTTGGACACTTGGCTCCTGTTTAAATGTCTAGAGCCCTTGCAAATTGTATAAAGTGAAAATTTCTCTGCTTTATAGTAAAAGAAATGAACTTTAGAAGTCAAATTACTAAAAATAATACTTTATTGAAAGCTTAGCTTGCAGTTGTCTGCTAATCATCGAACAAATGCAATTTCAGTCTGCTAAATCCAGTTATCCAGGATGATTTCCACTGGAAAATATTGTAACAATGGATCCAAAAGATGGCAAGTGTAAAAAAAAATTATGTCATTTTATTTTATTTTATTTTATATTTAAGATAG